GAGTTTCCAAAAAAATATGAAATAAATCATGGATGTAAATAATGCTATATTAATGTGCATTTACAAAGTTTCATCCGAAAGTATGACTATTTGTGACCTAGAGAAAAAGGACAAGATATGAACAACTAGTTAAATAAAATCTGCTGTCAGTGCTACTTTCCTGCGCTGTATGGACCATAGTTTGACAACTACTCCCTCCGTCTGAAAATACTTGTCATCAAAATGGATAAAAAGAGATGTATCTAAAACTAAAATACGTTTAGATACATACCTTTTTATCCATTTTGATGACAAGTATTTCCGGACAGAGGGAGTATTTAACCAGTTCTACAAACCTCCTTGTGATTAGGATCCTGTCATGTGGTTTTAAATTCCTTTCATGAGAGGTATCATCCCAGTAAATTTGTATGAAATTGCATAGAAATTGGAAACCGTTCAGTTTCACCTCTTGCAGTGACAGCAAAGTTAGATTCTTAACTATAACTAGCATGGACACAAATACGTAGTTCCAGCTGCTTGGCCTTTGCCATTTGTATTGGTGCTGTTTGCATCTGACACATCAAGATTTTGAAACCCGGTAAAATTGATATTTTACCCAATATTTAAACGACGATATTGTTTATGGAAAATCTTAATATTGTACACACATACTTAAAGTGATTTGCTGTCCATGTAATGCACTGAGTTGCTTGACTAGGGAACTTAATCAAATTCAGTTCCTAATCCATAAAAGGATACAGGTAGTAACTACTCCATAAGACAGTTAACGCTCTACGGATCATCGTGTATGTTGTCCAATGTAGTATGTCATGACAGCCAAAACTGATTCCATCATGCCTTGATGCTTGGTTGGCGAAAAGTCGTAAACATGAGATTGAGATTCTCTTGTGATATTGTTCAGGTCAAGGTATTGGAATATGTTGGTCTGGCTCCGGAAGGCAGCCAGAGGGTCTCTAGTTTCTTAGAGAAGGCCGCGGAAGGTCTTGTCGAAGGTGGCAAGTAAGTTTATCATCTCTGAACCACGTTTCTGAAAGAGAAGAGTATAATTTGCTGAGAGCTTCAGTCGTAGTGCAACTTCAGGAGCCCACTCCTTTTATTCCCTCCACTTTAATGCTGTATATATATGAGTTGTAACATGCGCGAGATCTACAGGAAGGAGATCTTCACTCCGATGTACTTCTTTGTGGTTCGGAAGCCTCTTTCAGAATGAGCAACTTTCAGGTCCGGTAGACTAGTCCTCTAAATCATCATGATATTTTCCCAGTTCATGTGTTCGCAAGTTCTTATCGTGTGTATCTTTGAAGCCAGGCAATGCAAAGATGCATTTTGAAGAAGCGGGCTCGACCGGGGAGTTTGGCTATGGCGATCCTCGGTTCTTATCTGTAGAAGAGATGTAGCGAAATGTGTTGCGTTTCTTTTGTTTTGTATTTAATTAATGTTGAGCTTCTGTTTTGTTGTTTTGTCGTGCGAGCTTTTGATCCTCGTCGATTAACTGACTGTTTGACGCCATTGTGCTAAGCGATTAGTGGCATAAATAAGCTAGATGCAGTTTTCTTCCCCGTCAAGGTTTGCATAAGGCCGTTCCGATTTCTTGCCCAAACAAGTGTGTGTACTGTGTAGGATCCGGTGGTGCTGAAGTTTTGTAACCTAGCAAAAGAGAATTTCGCATGAATGATCGTTCTCAGTACTGGAATTTTCAAGTATGTTTGCCTTAAGAATAATAATTTGAGGGGTATGTTTGCCTTAATTTTATTGTATCACATGACTACCATTTCTCGTTGTGCCTCTACCGAACTTGAAGACATCTTCCCTTTATTATACTCCCTCCGTTTTTATTTACTCTGCATATTAGAGTTGACTGAAGTCAAACTTTGTAAAGTTTGACCAAATTTGTAGAAAATAATATAGACATTTATCATAATAAATCTATACGTTGTAAAAGTACATTCAATAATAAATCTAATGTTGTTGACTTGTTATTGTATATCTTAATATTTTTGTTTATAAACTTGGTCAAAGTTTGTAAAGCTTGACTTTGACCAAAGCTAATATACGAACTAAATAAAAACGGAGGGAGTACCAATTCTTATTACAAACTACTACTCCCTCTGTTCGTAAATATTTATCTGTTTAGAGATTTCAAATGGACTACCACATACGGATGTATATAGACATATTCACTCATTTTGTTCCGTATGTAGTCACTTGTTGAAATTTCTAGAAAAACAAATATTTAGCAATGGAGGGAGTAATTCGATACTTGGATAGTTGGTGATTCAGATTTAGGAAGAAGTTGTAGTAAGTTAAATTTTTCGACAAAGTGTAGTAAGTTAAATAACAGAGTATCAGTGTTTTTGTTCAACAAGGTAAAAATGACCAATAGATTTATGGTTCTATTTGAGTTTTTGCATGATGTCGAGATGGATTCATTCTCGATAAAGAACAACGATCTTTGTGGCCATGTCTGGTGTTGATAATTTATTCGCTGCTGATCTTATGTGAGCAGTGAGGAGCAGTAGCAGGGCGGTGGTGCCCGAAAGAACAACGGACAGAGATCGGGTGACATGCAAATGCTGCAGGACGGTGGTGCCCGAAAGAATAACGGACAGAGATCAGGTGACATGCACGTTTGCATGTCACCGTGTGCCTTGCGGCCTCCATTTAAAATTAAACATTGCAAAAAAATCTGAAAAAATCATGCATGTTCGCAGCACATATTAAGATAACCCCTAAGAAAATACAGATCAAAATTCGAAATATACATCGAGAAACAAAAAAGAGAAACTCAGATGTGAATAGAATATAGAGAACCATTCGTGAACTATTCATGATAGATTTTTCTTTTTTGTTTCTTGATGTATATTCCGAATTTTGATCTGAATTTTTTAGGGGTTATCTTAATATGTGCTGCGAACATGCATGATTTTTTCCAGATTTCTTTTTGCAATGTTTAAATTTGAATGGAGGCCGCAAGGCACACGGTGACATGCAAACGTGCATGTCACCTGATCTCTGTCCAAGAATAACGTCCAAGGCAATTGTAATCTTGGTCCACGTCTCCCAATGGGTAATAAGAAATCTACGTCCTACATATAAATGTATACTAAAAGCATCTTCAACCACGTACCTCTAATTCGACCCTCAAACGTTCGCGGACGCGCCCGGTCAGTGATCGGGCGTGTCCGTTTTGAGCCCCTATTTATCCATCCGCAAACACACTCCTCATTTTCTTTCTCATATGTCCGGTCATGTGCATGTGATTGGTGAAGATGAAGAGAGAGAAAAAAATGAATAAAGAAAGAGAAAAGGTGGTCCTGGGTGGGGACGCGTCCTATATCTCCTATGTGGCGGACTGATCGGACGCGTCCGCGAACCCTCATATCCTCCCTATATTTGATATGGATATGAGGGTTTGCGGATAGCCCAGGTGTATAGGGATGATATGAGGGCTTCAGTTGGGTCAACTTTTTCCTACTTTTTGCTTTTCTCTCTTGTCCGGTCAGTAGTCCTCGTGCCCGCCCGGTTAATTTAAGGTGCCCAGCTGTAGATACTTTAATAAGTGAAGAATACAAACTACCGTATTTGTATGGGATCAACCAAACGGTGATCTGAATGATTCGAGTCTTTGGCAAATGGTCTTTGAGACTAGGTCTTATGTCAGTCTTGCATCGTGGGATCCTCTTCTTGGCGCTCATTCCTTTTCTTTCCCAAATCCATCTTGCGTCGTATTCATAAAATTCAGACTCTGTCTACACTTCGAGCGTTGGAACGGTAAGAGCAACTCCAACGGGTCGATCTAAACGGACGGCGCTTTTATCCGCTTTTTATCCGTTTGGGTCGGCCCGGCGGACACAAACGTCCAGCGCTATATTTGGGTCGGCGCTAGTGAAAGATCGAGGATGTCGCCTAGAGGAGGGGGGGGGGGGGAATAGGCGTTTTAAAATAATTACGGTTTAGACTTGAACAAATGCGGAATAAACCTAGCGGTTAATTTGTCAAGCACAAAACCTAAAATAACTAGCCTCACTTATGTGCACCAACAACTTATACTAAGCAAGATAAGCAACTATGTGATAGCAAGATATATGACAAAGAACAATATGGCTATCACAAAGTAAAGTGCATAAGTAAATGGCTCGGGTAAGAGATAACCAAGGCACGGGAGACGACGATGTATCCCGAAGTTCACACCCTTGCGGATGCTAATCTCCGTTTGGAGCAGTTTGGAGGCACAATGCTTCCCAAGAAGCCACTGCTGGAATTTAGTCTATTTGGGCAGCCCAATAACTATTTCAGAAATTCTTAATAAATCCTAAAGGCCCACTTAGCCCATTTGTGCAAGGCAAGGGATACTACTAATGTTTAGTCCCACATTGCTAGTTTAGAGGGAGTTGGACCTCTTTATAAGGGAGGCTCCTTTCCCACTTGTATGAGCATGAGAACAAGAGGGACATCCACGCGCGCTCCTCCTCCGCCGCCCGCCTCGCCACGCCACGCCTCGTTTCACCTTCCGTTGCTGCCCTCTCGCCTCCTTCTCTTGCGCCTATAAAAGGGAGGTCGCTCCTTTTAGAGAGGTGCACCGCACGTCGGTACAGTAGGCCTCCGAGACCGCACCTTTTGAGTCTTGTACGGAAGAAGGGTGATAAGGTTTTTGGGGAGCGCTCAGCGCGACTACTGGCTGCTTCATCACGGACGATCCGGTCGCCGACGACTACTTCCCCGACGACGACTTCTTCCCCGACGTCCACGACCTCTTCGACGACATGGCAGGCGAGGACACCGACCCCAAGTCCAGCGCTTCCGCTGCTGCTGTGTCGTACGTGTTCTTCCCCTTTCTGTTAGAAGTCCTGCTACCGTTCTTGGCTCTAGTTTCTGCCCTACATATGTTAGGTTCTATGTCGTATAAGCAACTTCATATAGTGTCTGTTCTAGATGTGTTTAGCTCAGGTTCATATATGAACATGTTGTTTACCTTCTCTTTGTCAAATCACATGACTTATTTTATCACTGCTATACTAGCCATGTTTTATCTAGTATTTCTGTTAATAAAATTATTCGATAAATTGCTCATATTTCCAACAATCCAAAAACCTTATTATAGGCAATTTACCTCAAATGGTTTTGCTGCTTCCATGAGACCTCCTATGATTGAGGGTATCCACTATAAGAGGTGGCGCGTGAGAGCAGTCTTATGGTTTCAAACCATTAGTTGCTATGACGCCACTCTTGGCAAACCTGAAGGAGAGCAAGATGCCCAACAGGCACAAGCTTTTCAGAAAATGGATACTTTGTTTAAGGCTGCTCTCTTGAGTGTTCTTGGAGAGAACATAGTTGATGCTTATGCGTCAATTAACAATGGAAAAGATATGTGGAACGCACTCGAGGCCAAGTTTGGGGTCTCGAATGCCAGCACTGTGATGTACATCATGGAGCAATTCTATGATTACAGGATGACTGAAGAGCGCTCCGTGGTTGAGCAGGCTCATGAGATACAGTCATTTGCTAGAGAACTTGAGCACTTCAATTGTATCCTACCGGACAAGTTTGTTGCCGGGGGTATCATCAGTAGGATTCCTCCTTCGTGGAGGAACTTTGCTACCTTACTAAAGCATAAGAGACAGGAGTGTTCCGTCCCGGATCTCATTGGTACTCATGATGTGGAAGAAAAGGCGAGAGCAAAGGACACACGTGCTCGAGGTATTGAGGGAGGATCTAGTGCCAATTTGGTACAGAAGAAAAACTTCCAGTCCCACAAGTTCAAGAACAAGGGCAAGCTTGATGGTAAAGCAAAGTTTGATGGGAAGAACAAGGTTGTACAACACACGAACTTCAAGAAGAAGAGTGACAAGAAGAAAGGTGCTTGTCATGTGTGTGGAGATCCTGATCATTGGGCTCCTAGTTGCCCCAATCGCTATGACAAGCGTCATCCTGGGAAAGGCGACAAGACCGCTAATGTTGTCATCGGAGACATTGACATGAAGGATGCTGGGTATGGTATATTTCCCACTACTCTTTCAGTATGTCATTCTCCTGATTGGTTGATTGACACGGGTGCTAATGTGCATGTATGCGGTGATATTTCCATGTTTTCGTTTTATCAGACCGCAGGGACTTCAACCGTGTTGATGGGCAACGGTTCAAGTGCTTATGTTCGTGGTGTTGGCACGGTCGATCTGAAGTTTACTTCGGAGAAGATCATGCGGCTGAAGA